ATTGGAGGCGACCAAATGAGTTAACCTGCTACATCTCACAATGTCATTTGGAAGTGATGTTAATCTATTGTTGGAAACATCTAATTTGGCTAGACTTTCCAATTCTTTAATATTTTCTGGTAACTGTGTTAATAAATTTGCTCTCAACTCTAGAACTTTTAATTGACGTAAAGAGCATATTGCTGACGGTAGAGACTCTATATTATTATTATTTAGACGTAGTACACATAAAGATTTCAATTTGCCAATAGAATCAGGTAGACTTGTGAGTTGGTTATTGTCTAAATATAATAAACGTAATTTAGACAATTTTGAAATGTCTGCAGTAAGTGATGCCAATAAATTATTATTAGCTCTAAGCTCTCTTAGTTTTTTAAGTTTACATATGCTTACTATATCAGAAAGCACATTATTGTCCAAATTGAGACGCCTCAAATTTTTCATTCTTTTAAATTTTAATCTTGGATTAAATTCTGAAATACAATTACTACTAAGATCTAAAATTTCCAATTTTGAAAGTTTTAAAAGTTCTTCTGGCAAATCCCGAAGTGTATTTCGATCAAGATAAAGTTCTTTAGTGTTATAAAGATTATTAAAAAAGTTATCCGGAATGCATGATAAACGATTATTACTTAATCTAGCGGGCACTTTATCTGTTGTTTGAGGATCAATAAGAACATCCCAAACATTCTCTAACGGTAAATCCGGTTTTGTTTCATTGAGATTTAAATGTTGAGGATCCGAAACAGTTCTGAAGGCAGACGGATCCTCCGAATTGAAAGATCTTGAAAATGATGATAATGAAGTTGCGTATGGTATTGTTTGTGATTTAGAAACCAAAGTATCTTCTCCGTCAAATAATAGATCATCATCGTCATCATCATCATCATCATCATCGGTATCGCTATCAACAGAGCCATCGGTAGACAATAAATTATCTACATTGATTTGCTTAGCATTGGATTGTTTATTTTCATTAGCTACTGGAATGGTACTTGATCTTACATCTAAATTATGAGAAGGTAAAAGGTTTTGATAAAACCTTTTCTTAAAAAGACGTAAAGGAGATTTATCAATCTTGTTTTGTTCATCTGTTGATTCTGTGGGCTGAATCAAGTCCTTCCCAAATGAAATATCCATGTTTTCAACGTCAACGTTTGAACTCTGATGTGAATAATTATTAATATTTACAGAAGTTTGGTCCCTAGAAGCTGATGATTCCCGTGCCAAGGTTCTTGAATC